GGGGTTAGTCAATATGAAACCAAATATCAAATATTGCATAAAAGGGATTGGGTGAGGAGAGCAATCATAATAAGGTGTTTTGGTCCACCTTTATTATGGGAACTCATGATCATCCTTGTATTGGTGAGTCGTCAAAAGATCGTGGCAGACAGTAACATTGTGATTATGGAAAGAGAGAGAGAGAGAGAAAGAAAGGGAGAAATGGTAAAACTAGGATTAATAAGGCATTCATACTGGTTATATAAGGCAGAAAGAGGGAAGGTCTCGATGATAAGTACTTGTTGGAAGGACAGCTTAACCCCTATGTTGGTCCTATATTATTCAATGATAAAAAGGTTAAAATGTCAAAATGTATAAATAATTGTATGAGTGGATGGTATATTGGGTTCGGTTAGAGAGTTTTCGACTACACATTAGATGTATTCCTCGAAAAGCTCTACTTGCACGTTACTTTATGTATGTATTTGAATATTGTGATATCTGGAAGTCAAAGATTGGTGCTTTCTTTGTGGAAGTCAAATGTAAATTACACAACAAAGAGGACATGGTCAGATCTGAAGGATAAACCAAACATGAAGGACAGAGGTCAAAGGTGAAAATGTCACATGTAAAGGATGGTTAAATGTGAAGATCAGAGGTCAAAGGTGAAAATGTCACATGTAAATTATTATTAAATGTGAAGAACAGAGGTCAAAGGTGAAAATGTCACATGTAAAAGACTATTCAATTTGAAGGATAGAGGGTCAAAGGTGAAAGACAACATTAAATATGAAGGACAGAGGTCAAAGGTGAACATGTCAAATGTAAAGGACTATTTAATGTGAAGGGTAGAGGTCAAATGGCAACATCAAACAGGTAGGACATATGACAAAGATGAATGCTGCTTTGAAGTACTTGCATATGACAGTGAGTTGAATGCCGAGTAATGTCGGAAGTGTATCCTGTATATTCTGTGTGAAAGTTATCATTAGTATTAATCCAATAACAAGTCTGTAATGATCACCTGTTTACCTCTTACATACCCATCTCAGTCATACCTACATCATAGTCTGTATCATCTGTTGTCCTCACCTATAAAGTTATCGTAAAACAGATCTTTATGTCCACTGATTATGATGAACATAATCCAGGTTACCCACTGCTGGTAAAATGTAATCCTGGTTACCCTCTGCTGATAAAATGTAATTCTGGTTACCCTCTGCTGATAAAATGTTATCCTGGTTACCCACTGCTGATAAAATGTTTTCCTGGTTACCCTCTGCTGATAAAATGTAATCCTGGTTACCCATGCACTGCTGGTAAAATGTAATCCTGGTTACCCACTGCTGATAAAATGTACTCCTGATTACCCTCTGCTAATAAAATGTAATCCTGGTTACCCATGCACTGCTGGTAAAATATAATCCTGGTTACCCTCTGCTGATAAAATGTTATCCTGATTACCCTCTGCTAATAAAATGTAATCCTGGTTACCCACTGCTGGTAAAATGTTNAACTGCTGATCAAATGTAATCCAAGTTACCCACTGCTGATCAAATGTAATCCTGGTTACCCTCTGCTGATAAAATGTAATCCTGGTTACCCATGCACTGCTGGTAAAATGTAATCCTGGTTACCCACTGCTGATAAAATGTAATCCTGGTTACCCTCTGCTGATAAAATGTAATCCTGGTTACCCTCTGCTGATAAAATGTAATCCTGGTTACCCACTGCTGGTAAAATGTAATCCTGGTTACCCTCTGCTGATAAAATGTAATCCTGGTTACCCATGCACTGCTTGTAAAATGTAATCCTGGTTACCCTCTGCTGATCAAATGTAATCCTGGTTACCCATGCACTGCTGGTAAAATGTAATCCTGATTACCCTCTGCTGATCAAATGTAATCATGGTTACCCACTGTTGATCAAATGTAAACCTGGTTACCCTCTGCTGATAGAATGTAATCCTGGTTTTACCCACTGCTGATAAAATGTTATCCTGATTACCCTCTGCTGATCAAATGTAATCCAAGTTACCCACTGCTGATAAAATGTAATCCAGGTTACCCACTGCTGATCAAATGTAATCCTGGTTATCCACTGTTGATCAAATGTAATCCTGGTTACCCTCTGCTGATAAAATGTAATCCTGGTTACCCTCTGCTGATAAAAATATAAACCAACTGTTGATGATCAGACAAATCTGGTTACCAACTGTTGGTGATAAAACACATTTGTTTATACCCATGGCAGATGATAGAGCTAATTAAGCCTTGATATGTCCTGGATAGAGTAGGTATAGATAGGTTTGGAGACCTTTTTACCTCTGATTGTACTAATCAAAGTGCCTTCACACCTTATACACTGGTCCTGTTGGTGTCTGTGATGTGTCACATCCAATGGCAAAAATTTCTCTGTGTTTACTGGTTCAAATATTGTGTATAAATTTAAATAGAATGGTATTACTTATGAATTTAAGTCAGTTAGAAGTAGAACTCTTGATATCATAAAGTGACAAGGTGGAAAGCAAGATTTACTTTTTGGCCAGGAATTTATATAATTTCTGTGATAAATTAACTGACATGAATTTATGTCGTATTAGCAGAAATCATAGAATTAACACACTCTGTCAGCATACAATATCTGGTGTGTCTTTTAATATTAGCTGAGAAAATGTATATGTCAAATACATCATTTAATGATAGCAGGCAAATACTGAAAATGTTTTTGAAAATGGTCTTTCCAATTATTTTTGCCCTCTTTTGCAAAATCAAAAGGCAAAGATGATTTTAAAGGCTCTAGAGTAAACATTAGGAAACTTGATCATTTAATCTCTGGAATGAAGATAATGCCTTAAAATAATTATACAATCTCTGCATGGAAGATCTGTATAAAATTCATTATTTAATCTCTTCTGAGAAGATCTATAAGAAATTTCATTTATCATTTAATGTCTGCAGATCAATAAGAAATTTATTTGTCAGTATTTATTTACTTTGAAAGAAAGGCTTTACACATGTTTCTCTTGAAATTTGAAGGCATTTGAGATCAAACTTGTCTAAACCAAATTTCAACAACTATGTATATTACAAACCTTTAGGTTTCAGCCTAAATGGGTAGTTGGAGGGTATCTGGTTGATCGGGTAAGGCAGGTGTCATCATACCATTTCCATGCATGCATTTGTAAAGTGTCAAGAAAACTATGCTGTTAGCAATATATATATATATGCAGTGTAAAGTTATGAAGGTACACTGATCTGGAAATGAGTTGTGTGCATAAGTTATTATTATGTATATTTATGCTAGTTGTTTATACACCTTTTATGAGACTACAAAGTCTTTATCATGTTTAAAAGTGCTGAACTAATTTTTGTACTGCTGATAATGTTGTAATTGCTAGCATTACATAGTAGCATTGTTCCTATGATGTTGCAAAGACTTCAGGGATCATGTTGTAAAAACTGACTTACAGGGAGCTGTTCAAGTGTGTTCTCTGCCAGCTTCGGTGGCTTAACAATCATACAGGTCTCTCTACCTGTGTATTTGGTAATCCATTTTTACCTTTCTATTTGGTAGAGATATTGTGTACCTGTTGGTTACCTGTAGTCAAAAGGTGAGGTATCCTTGTCTTACCTGTGTGTTTGGTACAATCAACAGGTATTGTTTACCTGTTGGTTGCCTGTAGTCATAGTGGAGGTATTCCTGTATTACTTGTGTATATTGGTACAGGTATTGTTTACCTGTTCATGTTTTACCTGTGTATTTGGTACAGGTATTGTTTACCTGTTCATGTTTTACCTGTGTATTTGGTACAGGTATTGTTTACCTGTTCCTGTTTTACCAGTGTATTTGGTACAGGTATTGTTTACCTGTTCCTGTTTTACCTGTGTATTTGGTACAAGTATTGTTTACCTGTTGGTTACTTGCAGTCATAGAGGAGGTGTACTTTCTTTTTACTTGTGTGTTTGGTAAACAGTTATAGAAAATAAGGTTAGCAATAACTGACCTGTCCATGATAACAAGAACATCACAGGTTGTAATGTACATTTCCTGATATTGTAAATATGTTTTACAGGTCTTCAAAATTAGTAATACATTTACACAAAAAAAACTCTTGTGATTTTCAACTTTTGTCAGTAAACAAATCAAAACTTCTGTTGAATGATGAATTTCCTATAAGTTTTACTAATTGCAAAGCGCCCAATGAAAATCACCTTGGCTAGCAAATGCTTTCAAACAAATTACTTTCAATAAGTCAAATTTTGTTTACTGCATCTCTGACATCTATCAGGTATGTAGGTGTTACTGGGTGACATCTATTAGGTATGTATGTGTACATGTTACTCTAGGACAGCAAATACATTTGCAAGTGTTAGTTTGGCCCTACCACATATCATTATTGTATATAGCATTCTGCATCCTTATATGGGCATAGTTGTATTGATAATATTGATGTAAAATAAGGGGCCGGCCCCTATCTCTCCAGTAGCAATCATCTATTAGTACATTTAATGTGAGGGAATCAACCCTTACCTCCATGTACTTGGCATTAGGTAGTACATGTTAAATGAGGTACTCGGCATCTACCTGATTAATAAGTACTCCTTGTACATGTAAAATGAGGGACTTGGCCCTTACCTCCTGTTTAGCTGTTATTAATATGTAACCGTGTGTACATGTAAAATGTGTACATGTAAAATAAGGGACTCTGCCCTACCTCCTGCGTAGCTGTCATTTTTAGTACAGGTAAAATGATGTACTCGGCCCTACCTTCATTAAGTGTCATTATTAAGTACATGTAAGCCTATCATCTGTATAGAGTGGTTCCTCTGTTCATTTTGTCACATTACACTGCTTTTTACATCAAACCTAACCATTGATGACTTACCTCATTCTGTAGCTACCTATACAGGCCTGTAGATAACCAACCATTGTTAATAGGTCATCGTCTATAAAGTCATGTACAGTCCACCGAATTGTTATGCTTC